CTGTATGTGGTTGGGTTAGTTTCTGGCTTCTTGATTCTGTTCCATTGATCAATATATCTTTCATTGTACCAGTACCAGGCTGTTTTGACCACTGTTGCCATGTGGTAAAGTTTGAAATTGGGGAGTGAGAGACCTCCAACCTTGATCTTCTTTTAAAGCAGTGCTTTGCTTATCTTGGGTCTCTTTCCTTTCCATATAAATTTAGTAATTGTCATTTCCATCTCTTTGAAGAATGTTGTTGGAATTTGGATTGGGATTGCATTGTATGTGTAAATTGCTTTGGGGAGTATTGACATGTTCATGATGTTGAGTCTTCCTATCCAGGAACATGGTATGTTCTTCCACTTCTGTAGGTCTCTTTTGGTTTCTTGTAGTTGTGTTTTATAATTTTCTTTGTATAACTCCTTTGTTACTTTTATTCCTAAATATTTACTCCTTTGTGCGGCTATTATAAATGGTATTGCTTTCCTAATGTCCTTTTCATTGCTATCGCTGTTGCTATAGAAAACTCCAACTGATTTTTGTAAGTTGATCGTATACCCTGCCACTTTACTGAATCTTTTGTTGAGGTCTAGTAGTTTTTTTACTGAGTCTTTGGGGGTTTTTATGTATAGGATCATATCATCTACAAATAAAGAGAGTTTTACTTCCTCTTTGCCAATTTGGATGCCCTTAATTTCTGTATCATGCCGTATAGCTCTGGCTTAAATTTCCAGCACAATAGTGAATAGGAGTGGTGATAGAGGTCATCCTTGTCTGGTTCCTGTTCACAGAGGTAAGGCTTTCAATTTCTCTCCGTTGAGAGTTATATAGGCTCTTGGTTTTGTAGATATGTTCTTATTATTTTGAGGAATTTCCCTTCAACTCCTACTTTGTCGAGTGATTTTATCAAGAATGGATGTTGGATTTTGTCAAATGCCTTTTCTGAATCAATCGATACGATCATGTGGCTCTTTTCTTTTTTCTTATTTATATGGTGGATTACGTTGATTGTTTTTCTAATGTTGAACTATCCTTGCATCCCTTTTATGAAAGTCATTGGTCATGACGTATAATTTTTTTGATGTGCTGTTGGATTCTGTTGGCTAGGATTTTGTTGAGAATTTTTGCGTCTATGTTCATGAGGGATATTGGTCTATAGTTTTCTTTTTTAGTGATGTCCTTTCCTGGTTTTGGTATGAGGGTTATGCTTGCTTCATAAAAATTGTATTATTATTTTGTTATGGGTTTATTCAAGTTTTCTACTTCATTCTCAGTAAGTTTAGGTAGGTTGTGTTTTTTTAGAAATATATCCATCTCATCTAAGTTTTGAATTTGTTGGAGTACAGCTCTTCATAGTATTCTGTTATTATCTTTTTTATTTTGTTTGGTTCTGTTGACTTCACCCATGTGGTTTCTACTGTGATTTATTTGTGTCCTCTCCCTCTTTTCTTTTGTTAGGTTTTCCAACGGTTTGTCTAATTTTATAAATCCTTTCAAAGAACCAGCTTCTTGTACTGTTGATTCCTTCTATAGTTTTTCAGTTTTCCATCTCATTTATTTCTGTTCTTATCTTTATTATTTCCTTTCTTTTGGTGACTGTAGTTTCCCTCTGCTGGTCTGCTTCTAATTGTTGAAGATGCTGTATTAATGTGTTGATTTTGGTTCTTTTTTCTTTTTGGATGTGCTCATTTATCACAATAAATTGTCTTTTTAGCACTGCTTTTACCATGTCCCAAATATTTTGGTATGTTGTGTTTTCATTCTCGTTTGTTTCTAGGAACTTTGTGAATTCACTAATTTCTTCTTTTACTCAATCACTTTTCAGCAGGGTGTTGTTCAGTTTACATGTATTTTACTTTATTTCCTTGGTCTTCTTATTATTGATTTCTAGTTTTATAGCATTGTGGTCTGAGAAGATGCTCTGTAGAATTTTGATGCTCATAAATTTATGGAGGCTTGCTTTGTGACCTAACACATGGTCAATTCTAGAATATGCTCCATGAGCAATAGAGAAGAATGTGTATTGTGCTGTTGTTGGATTGAATGCTCTGTATACATCTATGAGGTCAAGTTTGTTGATTGTGTTGTTTAGTTCCTCTGTAGCTTTGTCGAGTTTCTTTCTGGTTGTTCTATCCCTTTTCGAGAGTGGTGTGTTAAAATCTCCCACGATAATTGTAGATTTCTTTTTTTCTTTCTTCAATTCCAGTAAGGTTTGCTTCATGTATCTTGGTGCACTTTCATTGGGAGTGTATATATTTATTATGGTAAGTCGTCTTGTTCAGTTGACCCTCTGATCATAAGATAGTGTCCTTCTTTGTCTCTTATGCTGGTTTTTATCTTAAAGTTTACTTTGTTGGAGATTAGTATTACCACTCCTGCTTGTTTATTGTTGTAGTTAGCTTGGTAAAATTTTCCCATCCTTTAATTTTTAGTCTGTTTTTTTTCCTTCTTCTTCTTTGTGTGTAAGGTGTGTCTCTTGCAGGCAGCATATTAATGGTTCTTGTTTTCTTATCCATTCTGTCACTCACTGCCTCTTACTGGTGCATTCAATCCATTGGCATTCAATGTAATCATCGATAGGTATGAATTAATTGCTGCCATTATGTTACTTTTTTGGTGGTGTTGTTTGCTCTTTTGTTCTGCATTCCTTCTATTGTTGGGTTTGTGTTTTTTGTGCTATTTCTTGTCTGTTTCTTCTTAGTGTCAGTGTTCGCTTGTTCTGCTTGGGAATTTATTTTTATGATAAGTTGTGAAGTATTAATTTTCTTTGGGGTTACCTTGTAGTCTCCTAACTTTTTTCTGAATTTAAGAAAATCCATTGTATCCTGTAATTTATCTGGCATCCTCACCACCTGGGTCTCTGTTGCTACGTTTGTCCCTTCTTTGACATTGATATATTTTTGGTCTTTAGTTGACCTCCCAGCTCTTTTGAGTTTGTTGTTGTAGTCTTGTTCTCTTCTGGACTCTGCTATCTGTTGACTGAGTTCTAGGTGGTGTTGCCACGCCTGTCAACCTCTGTTTGTTGTCTGTTCTTGTTGGTTTTCAGTCCACAGAACTCCCTTCAGGATGTTTTTAAGTGCTGGGTTGGTTTTGATAAAATCTCTTAGATTCTGTTTATCCTGGAATGTTTTGATTGATAGTTTTGCTGGATAGACAATTCTTGGTTGGCATTTTTTTTTTCCTTGTAGGGGTTTGCATATGTCTCCCCATTGCCTTCTTGCCTGCATGGATTGTTCTGAATAGTCAGAGCTTAATCTAATTTACTTGCCTTTATAAGTAATTTGTAAAGATATCAGAATAATAAGATAGCATTTCTCTTCTCCCTGGCTGCTTTTAGTATTCTTTCCTTGTCTTTGATTTTGAAGAGTTTTGATTATTATATGTCTTGGAGACTTTATTTTGGGGTCTATCCTTGCTGGGGTACGTTTGGCTTCTTGAATGCTTATCTTCTCATCTTTTAAGATGTTAGGGAAATTTCTTCCAGAAGCTCTTCAACTATCTCTTCTGTGGACTTCTCAGATTCTTCCTGCTCTGGAATGCCAATAATTCTTACATTATTCCTCTTCATGTTATCCAGCATGAATATTAGACTTTCTTCAGATTTTTTATCCTTTTAGCTGCTTGCTCTTCTATCTTGGCAGTATTGAGAGATTTGTCTTCCAGCTCACTAGTTCTGGCTTCCATCTGCTCCTTTCCCCTTTCAGCGTATTGTCCATTTCTGATTTCTTATTATTGATCATCTAGACATCTTTTTGCAGGTTTTGAATTTATGTTGTATCAATTTTTTTTATTGCTCCTGTAGTACTTTCCGTACTTCTTGTTTGTTTTCCTTCACCCCTTTTCAGAGCATTTAAATTTGTTTCCATGTCATTCTTCTGAATTCCTTCTCAGGCAAATCTAGAAACTGCTCTTCCTCCTCTATAAAGCCTTTGTGCTGTCTCCAGCTCATTTGCATCAGCTACTTTCTTCTGTTTTTTGGACTTGTTTTGATAAGATTTGTTGCTTCTTATTCATCATGGTTATTATTTTTGTTATTATTATTATTATTATTTTAAGCTTAAGTGAATGCTTCAATGTTAATTGTTTCATTACTGGGTGTCTCCTGGTGAATATGATCAGGAGATAGGCTTACCTTATCACATTTAATATTTAGCGGGTGTTGTTGGGTCCTGTCTTAGTGGTGGAATATTATGGGGTATGCTTATAGCTTGGCTATATGGCCATGATTGCTGTCTCTTCTTAGAAAATGTAGGGAGAAAAAGCTCCGACCTCCAGGAAAGATGTGTGATCAAAATGACCAAAAGCAGAAGTAATATAAATGCATAGACAAAAATCACCACTTTGGAGCCGAAATGAAGCTGTGGTCGACTGTCCCGTGCTGCACTGTCAGTGTGTGTGCAATTAGAAGCCTCCAGCAAGGGGTGGGGTTGACCACTCTCAGGCCCCTCCTCCAGTCACTACCTTAGAGGTGTGCAGGTAGATATTGGGGAGTTAATGGGAGAAAGATCGACCACTATTTTTCTCTGAAGGTCAGTTAGTTATCTGTGTGTGCTCAGTGCAAATCTTGGGATGGTTGAGTCCTGTTATGCTGGGATTTTACAGATCGCTTTGAATTGGTGCTGTGCAGGGAGCTCGGGCAGTGCAGTGGCCAAGGATTGCAAGGGCAATAGCTGGAAATGCCAAGCTGCTACCAGGGAGAAAGGCAAGGTGCCCCGCCCCCGCTCAGCCCCACAGCCTTAGAACCCCCACACTGGTCACTTATGGTAGGAACCTATTCCAAGCTGCACTGACGGGAGGGGTTCAGCTGGGGAACTTCTGGATTCATGGGTCTGCGGGTGATGTCATAAATTGCCGCAAAGCTCCCGCTCTATATACAGTGGGAAAACTGTCCCGCCTGATGTCTGGGCTGAGAAATGAAGACGGGACACAGAGAAAGAGAGGGAGAAATGTGTAGTCTCCCGAGTCTCTTTTTTGTGCTGAAAGCACCGCTTTCTGAGCTAGGCTGGCTTTAGCCCCACCTTCTAAACTCTGCCAGGGCGGGATAGTTGTCGAGGGAGTCCAATCTCCAGATTCCTAAATTGCCTGTCTTTTCCTTAATATCTGATGTTTTTACTTGCAAGTGCAGGAAACTGACGTCCTGGATCTTATGATAGATATGGAGCTCTGGAGTTGGTCTATGAGCAACTTCCTTCATGAGATCCCCTTCCCTTTTCACTGGCTTGTAACACCACATGGTTTTTGAGCAGTTGTAGCTGCAACTGTAAGTCCACATCATTGCTTTTAATATTAACAGATATATTGCAAGCTTGGTTCCAGATGATCACAATAAAATGAATATTGCAATAAAGCAAGCCACAGGAATATTTGGCTTCCCAGTGTATATAAAAATTATGTTTACACTATACTATACTTTGTTAGGACTCCTGGTGTGGTGGTGTAGTATCAGCACTGGACTGTGAATCACAAGATGGGCAGTTCAAACCCACCAGCTGCTCCTCAGACACCCAATACAGCTTGCTGTGAATCAGAACCTACTTGGTGGCACTGAACAATAACAGCAACACTCTACTAAGTGTATAATAACATTATTGAAAAATATGAAATATGTGAGTTACCAAAATGTGACAGAGAGACACGAAGTGAGCACATGCTGTTGAAAACTAATGGTGCCTGTTGACATGCTTGACATAGGGTTGCCACAAACCTAAAATTTTTAAAACACACACAAAAAACAACAACAACAACAACAACAAAACCCCACCATGTCTCAGAAGATCAGATATTCAAACCCACCAGCAACTCCTTGGAAAACTTTTACAGGGACACTATGAATTGGAACTGACTTGATGGCACTTAACAATATCAACATCAACATTTTGAAAAAGTTTGAAATATTGTGAGTGACCAAAATGTAAAAATGTGACACAGGGGCTGTTGAAAAATAATGGTGCCTGTAGTAATGCTTGACACAGGTTTACCACAAACTGAAAAAACCATATCTCAGAAGAGCAATTAAGAAAAGTGCAATAAAACAAGATATACCTCTAGTCATGTCTTCTCTGAACTGTGAGACACCATCCATCACGAACGAAGACTAGTTAGTTTATACAATGATGCTTTCATATTATTGATATCTTTAGGTAGACTAATGTCTACGAAAAAAAAAAAAAAAAAGCAAATGTTAGTCTAAGGGGTTCATATTAAATGTCATGCAAATTAATTTCTGCAAGTTATTCTCTGGGTCAAGTTTGAGTTTGTGACTGACATCATTCTGACAAATTTATTCTATATCTAAACTTGGTTTAATAAACAACAACAACAACTTTATCATGCCCTTGACCTAGGAATTTAGTGTAAATATCAAGTGTTGGAAGACATACAATCAGTATTTCTCTATTATAAATTAGACCTTCATACTTTGACACTAAAATGTCAACAAATACAATGAAAGCAATAACTTTTAAACAACAACAATGACAACAACAACAACAAAAACCCCAGAAGTCCACAATGACATTTTAAAGCACAGTGAGTAGCTTTCTTGTAATGTAATTTAATAAGACATAGTTGAGCAGATGGAACACAGAAAGGCAAACTGTGTTCTAAGTTTATTTTCTAAGCAGTGGAGAACTAATCATTCTATTGGACATTGGAAAATCAGGACAGTAGTTTATTACAAAACATTACAAGTCAAGTGAATAATTTTAAATCATTAGGCCTCTTACAAAACTACTAATTTAGTTAATCAAGGTGATAGGGCTTTAGAAAGTAAATTATGCCTAAATGAGGTTTTGATGAGGCTCTAATCCTTTAAATGCTTCCCAGATTGTATCTACACTGATGACAATTACAATGGTAATTTCTTGGCTGTCGTGTGATACAATAATTTAATGCCAAAAAAAGGAAGGAATATAATTTTCAAGTTAAGATATGTATTGTTGTTGTCGTTAGGTGCCATTGAGTCGGTATTAACTCATAGCGACTTTATGCTCAGCAGAATGAAACACTGCCCTATCCTGGACCAACCTCACTACTGTTGCCACACTTGGGTCCATCAATGCTGCCACTTGGCCAACCCATCTCGTTTTGGGTCTATGTTGGGGAACATTGAAAATAGGAAAGGACCTGAAAACCTCTCCATGCATTTCCAAAGTCAGGCAACAAGCATAAATCTCTCTTTTCCCACCAACTTTAGGGAGAATAGGAATTGTCATTTTCTCTCTAGTTTTCACCACCAGGCATGAACAATCTCTCTCATTATATGAAGATAATTCAAAAAGTATTGCTACAAAATATTAGAATGAAGTATTTCCATCTCTCTAATGCTTTCCCAAAGAATTCTGTTGCCTTTGATCTATACAAGTCAAACAGCAGTTTTGGCAACCTAGAAGGATTCAACTCATGTTCCTTTTAAATGTTCTTTTAATTTTTTGGGGAAAAATAAGTCTGAAGGAGCAAGAACAGAGCTCTATGGTAGATGGGGTAAACATTCTCAATGCAGCCCTTGCTAATCTGGAAGAATAAGCATGCATGTTGTTGTACTGTGAAAAATATCATCAGTCAAAGAATATATATATGTATATATATGAAAACAAGTCCACGAGAACCAAAATATGACCTTGAATTTATCCCACCTGAATTTAGAGATCATCTGAAGAACAGATTTGATACATTAAACACTAAAGACCAAAGACCAGAAGAGTTG